AAAAGACGACTTTTTTGCCCTGGCTAGGCATGATGGCGGCAGACTCGCGTTTGGCAAGCGCAAGCGCAGCTCCCGGCTTCGGCCGGTGCTTGGGGCCTTTCTGCGGCCGCTGTGGACGTCCCGCTGCAGGCTCCGCAGAAGGCGTATTGCCGTCCATCGTCACATCCTCAGTCGCTGCATCGGTCTCTGCCTTGGGGTGCGAATGCCATTCCGACTTCTGCCGCGGCACGCGCGGCTGGGCATCCCGCTCGAATCTCTTGCGGGGACCTACTCCTCCTCCGACAGCACCCTCTTTGTCCTTGAGGTGTGTCTTCACCGCGCCTCGGCGCACCGCGTCGGCCGAGGCGTACTCGACCACGAGTTGCCGCCCGTTCAGGGAGTGGTTCTTCGGGTTCGTCAGGCCAGACGTGGCGTGCTCCGTGGTGGTGAAGTCGATGAACGCGAACCTTTTCCGGTAGTCAGCACACCCACAGTCAGGAAGGGTATTGAGGGCCTCGCTCACCCTTTGCATTTCCCCGTGTCCTCGAACGTCCCCATACGAATCTTACGTATCCATTCCTCAGGCTTCTCCTCCGGATCTCCCTTCGCCTTCTTGGGTCGGTGAGCATTGAAAAGCTGTCGGATGTCTTCTTCGGTTGTCTGGAACGCCAGGTTTCCGAGGAACAGCGTCGGAGCAGCGGGCTGCTTTTGTATCCTTAGGATCTTCTGTGCCGTTTTCGAGTGCGTGGTTCCACTCGCGTCCTCGGTGGCTGCAGCTGGAGCACTGGGTCTCCCGGTGAAATCGCTTCCTGAATGAATGAAGGCCCGCGTTCATATCGCACCGTAGACCAGGGGGTGCTATACGTACCATCCTTGATCAGTAGTTTGCGGCCCAAAAGATTGTTCTCCGACATGAGCACGGCATTGACCTTTGCTTCTTGCGTCGCGAAATCAACGTAGGCAAATCTAAGTCAGCCATTCAGCAAAAGAATCGTGAAAAGCAAGGCATCAGATGCACCCTCGATTTTCAGGCCGCATCCCAGGTGTTCTGCTCGGCTTAGTCGGCATATGTACCCTCGTCACCTCTCCTGCGTCCTTGAAGAATTCCTTCAACGCCTCCGGAGTCGTCTTGAACGACATGTTCCCGACCCAGACCGAGTTCTGGCGCTTCGATTTGTCTGTCGCACTGGACCCATTGTCTAGCTTCCGTTTCTTGGAGACCTTGGCATCTGCTTTCTCTTGTTTTTCACGTTTCTTCTGGCGACGTTTCTCCGCGTGCGAGAGGACAGGATCGTCGGATTCGGCCGCAGGTGTGGGTGCGGCGTCGGTGTCGGCTCCAGCTTCAGATTCAGATTCGGAGTCCGAGCTCTCAGCATCCGAGTCCTGCTCATCCTGCTCATCTTCGCGCTTGCGTTTCTGAGCCGGCTCAGGCGTCGAGCCTCTGGAGCTTCCACTAGATGACGAGGACGAAGAGGACATTTTCTGAGGAATCACGGAAGAAGCCGCAGCCTCAACAAGTCAAAACTCCTCCTCGCTTCCCGATATAGCCTTGTGATTTTCCACTATCAATCGCGAAATGACTCCGGCGGCGCTCGCCCACTCGGACCTCCCAAAACTCAAGCTCTTGTCCAGAGGAAAGGTCCGGGATATCTACGCTACCTCCGATCCGGAAAAGCTGCTCTTCGTCGCGACAGACCGGATCTCTGCATATGATGTGATCTTGAAGAATGTGGGTTGGTTCCTCTGTTCATGCTTAGGCCATCCACTGACGTCTTTCTATTCCAACATTTTCTCAGGGAATTCCGAACAAAGGGAAATTGTTAACAGAGATCTCGCTCTTCTGGTTCAAGAAGCTTGGGAATGTGCTCCCCAATCACTTCATCACTGCCAACATCGACGAGATGCCTGTGGAGGTGCATGAATACCGGGATCAGCTCGAAGGGCGCACGATGCTGGTGAAAAGGGCGCAAGTCATTCCGTTGGAGGCGATCGTGAGAGGGTATCTGACGGGTATGTTTCCGAGTCAAAATCGCAAGTGGCTGATCTTGAGGCCCTTGTCAGGTTCCGCGTGGGCAGAGTACAAGAAAACTGGGACAGTTCATGGGATCACACTCCCCGCGGGTCTCATCGAATCTCAGAAGCTTCCGGAACCTCTGTTCACACCGTCTACCAAAGCTGAGCAAGGCCAACACGACGAGAACATCTCGCCTGAGCAAGGTCAGCGTCCTTTTCCCATCCTCCTTGAGCGCATCTTCCTCAATATTCCCCTATTAGCTTCCGCTCTCGTCGGCGCTGATCTCTACGCCAAAATCTCCACCGCTGCACTCGCGCTCTACACCGACGCGTCCACATACGCACATTCGCGCGGGGTCATTCTGGCTGACACCAAGTTCGAATTCGGATTGTTTGCGTCTTCACCTGGCGCCGAGCCAGAGCTTCTGCTCATCGACGAGTTGTTGACACCCGACTCTTCTCGGTATTGGCCGCTTGAGGGTTATGCTGCTGGCCGGTCACAGCCTTCGTTCGACAAGCAATATCTTCGCGATTGGCTTGTCGGTGCCGGCTTCCGGAAAGGTCTCGAGGCTGGGCCGGAGGGAACGAGCGACGGCTGGGTGATCGACGAAGCGGTCGTGCAGGGAACACAAAAGAGATATGAAGAGGTAGTCAAATTGCTGACCAGCTAAAGATTACATGCGGTATGTACTGTACTGTGCGCAGTGGGTGGCGATGGTGTGTGAGTGTGTGTGTGTGCAATATCCAAGATATGTATATGAAGTTCACCGTCGGCTGACCACTGCCCTACGATCCGCCTCGGCAAGCACCGATTTTGGCCCGCGACGGGCCATAGCCCAGAGGAAAACCAGAATGATGATCGCGAACTGGAGCCAGAGCCATACTTCGAGCAAGATTGCAACCATTGTGTGCTTCCGTCCACCGGGCTGGAGGACGATGGTCTTGTCGGAGAGGTCACCCGCGTCAGAAACCGGAGACATAACCCCCGTCTGGTCATCGTCGCTTGTCCGAGTAAAGTTCTCCATCACGACCTCAAAGGCAGTAGCCAATCGCTGAGGAAGAGAAACTCGCCTCGCCGAGATGACTTCCACACGAGAACGGACCAGTTCATCTGCAAGGCTGCCTGGCGACTGAGAGGAAAATCGCCCATCCACCCAACGGTTCGTGCGGAGGGATAGAGCTTGCGCCATGCGAGCATTCCGTGCGCGGTTCCGATCTCTCAGCGATCCGGCATTAGAAACCGTACTTGAGGGAGATGTCGGTTCAACACTCAAAAGCAAACCAGAGCGTATTGGGGTGTCTGGAGGCGTGACCTGTTGGCGGAATTCACCGGGAATCGAACGACCGGGGAGAGGTGAGGGAGACCCGTTAGGTGAGAAAGAGAGATCGTAGACACTGCCGCGATAGAACGGATCGAGGCCGTCATCCCCGAGTTCGCTATGCAGCGAAGGTCCGATAGGAGTACTCTCGAAGAGCGGATTTGGATCGAATTTGAGAGGTGACAGTTCCGAATCTTCCTGAAACAGCTCTGGGGTTCGGGGTCGGTCAAACTTAGCGCTGCTTGGGCCCTCGAAGAGCCCGATGATAGACTTGCGCGCCTTGGACCGAGGAAGGTTTATACTCGGCACGTCGTCGGGATCGATTTCCAGCGACCGGCGAAAGCTCTTAAACCGGATAGTCCCTTCCAGAGGTGTTTTCTTGCCAGCTTCCCCGACCATTTCCCACTCGACGCCATGCTCTACGTTGAAGCACTCGTAAACCTTGCTGATGCTCTCCGTTTCTCGCTGGACAGCCTGCAGCTTGTCCGCAGTCTCTGACTGCTGCTGCAAGATATGCGAATTCGTGTCCTCGAGCTCCCTGATTTTCGAGAGTAGTTGCGAAACGAGCGTCTGAGACGGTTGATTGGCCTCAGTCTCCGTCTGCACCTCTTCATCCGAATCGTAGTCTGTTCTGGACTTCGCCACATTGCGGGAAGGCGATAGAGAGAACGGCGGTGGAGCGAAATCCCGGACCTCGGATCCAAAGAGGCTGGATGAACCGGGACTATAGGCACTGGCACTCCTGCGCATCGATCGGAATCTGGCCTGCCGCTCTTTCTTCTTGCGCAGCATCTCTTCGACAATCTTCTCCGTGTCCACCTGTGCGTTCTTCTCCAGCTGCTCGCTCCGCGCCTGCGTTTTCTCCAGCTCGTCGCGCAGCAACTGCAGCTCTTTCTCCAGCTGTTTCAGCGCACGCCGGCTCGAGCGTTCCGTCGCTAGCGCCTCCGATTCCAGAGTGTCGATCTTGTTCACGAGCTCTGCATTCTGGTCGGCGAGGTGCGAGAGGTCTGCCGGAGAAACGGAAATCTTCCGCGAGTGGCGTTTGAGATACACGCGTGGGGAACGGTCGGAGTCCTGCACGAGGTCGTGCGGCGACGATTCGGGGCTTTCAGAGAACGATACGTGGGGCGATAGGAGAGGTGGAGTGGATGGAAGCCGGGCGACCAACGCATCGTGTTTGTCTTTCAGTGAGACATTGCTTTCATGCAAGGTCTTGCGCAGCGCAGACGTGAGACTGAGCCCTGGAAGACATGCAGGACAGCTCGCAGATACGAGATACTGGTGCACGTACCCGTTTCACGCTCCTTGATGAGATCCCCGGCTTTAAGGAGTAACTCCGTCAGCTCCTCGCGCGACTTCTCGTTCAACCAATCCGCATCCTCTTCCCCCAGCTCTACCATTTGGAGTGTTGCTGGTAGGGGAGAGCCCAGGTATTTCGGAGAAGGTGTGACATTTTCGGACCGCACAGCGAGAGACGAGGTGTAGGAAGGGGGAGGGGAAGAGCCCAGTTGCATTGTACTGGAAACGGACCGCCGGATGCGACCGGGTGGGCGGGGCCGCGGGCCTACAGAGTTAGATAGCATGTTTAAAGAAGGCGGGGTAGCATAGAAATAGGATGTAGAGCACAAGTGGGTCAACACCGAAACGAGTGGGTGGGGAAGAGCCTGGATCGGCAACGTGTAGTCTCCCTAAGGCATCCGCTGCGATTCAGCGCGCTCGTGCCTCACAGGCTGATCTGGCGTCTGCTTTTTGATGGGGGGTGCTTGTCAATGGGTGTTTTTGCCATCACTATGTACATCACGTGGGCCGCCGATATCACCAAACAGCGGGTTAATTACACGCGTCGAAAGCCTCTACACACACTTATTCAGACACGTTACTACTCGTCGAATCGCTGTTGGATGGCTTTTAAGTAATTCGGGTATCTTATTCGTATACAAATCGGGCTCAGTAGCCTTGCTGCCAATTGGGCAAAGTCACAGTGCGATCGGTCACAGCTCAAATTTCAAATGCTCCTTCCCACTGAAGCACCATCCCTGTCCGCATCCTCGATCCCTCCTGCGTTCGACTGGAGAACTCGACATGCATTCCGATGGTTTGAAGCAGACCAAGGCTTCCCGAAGCTCCGGAGCAGAGTGCGCCAATTTGTCGACTTCGAGCTTGACAACTTTCAGGTCGAATGCGCAGCGCGATTGCTGGATGGGCAGGATGTACTCTGCATCAATGCGACGGGTGCAGGAAAATCGGCACTGATTTATATCCCTCTGATGGTTCGGGACGGCACGATGTCGATAGTGGTCTCCCCGACCAATTGTCTACAACGGGACATGGTAAGTCTCTATCTTGTATCTCGCGGAAAGCTGACCCGACTAATGAAATGTTATTCAGGCTCGCGGGATGCAGAAGAAGGGTATCACATGCCTTGCTATCAATAGTGAGACGCTCACCGCAGCGCTGCTCATGGAGCCCCCTCGAGATCTCTGGGCAATGGCCAGATCGGGGCTGTATCGTCTTGTATGCTTGGGACCGGAGACCTTGAAGTCGTCACAGTTTGATGAATTCATACTCGATGGAAATGTACGGGCTAGACTTGGTCTGTTTGCCGTGGACGAGCTGCATCTCGGGGACGAATGGGGGGCAGACTTCCGGCCGGACTTTCGTGTGATTGCGTCCATGAATGCTCGGTGCCCAGAGCACACCACACACCTAGGGCTGTCAGCAAGTATCGAACCAGGTCGCCAACTGCGTGCTTGTATCAGGCTTATGGGACTTCGCCCTGGCTATCACATCGAAAAGAAGGACTGTGAACGACACACCATTTCCTTGTTCATGCGACCTATCAAATATACAACGTCGGGACTTGTCTTTCGCGATCTTGATTGGCTGGTCCCTCAGGAACTTGACAGACCATCGGATGTGCCCAAGCGACTGGTCTTCGTGCAATCGATTGAGCAAGGGCATCGAGTCGTCTTGTACCTCCGCACGTTACTTCCCCGACATCTAAAGCCCATGGCAAAGACTATCATCCGACACCATCACTCTCTCGCATGTCCGGACTGTAAAGTCGAGAGCATGAATATGCTGTACGAGTCTGGAGAGGACAGGAACTGTCTGATTCATGTCTCGACTGATGTGCTCACCGTTGGGGTTGACATCCCTGCTCTATCCGATGTTGTCATCTTCGGGAAGATTGGCAGCCTCTCAACCCTTGTGCAACGCGCAGGGAGGCCAGCGAGAGAGAGGGGATCGACTGGTTGTGCGTACGTGTATGTTGCCAAGTCGGACTTGAACGAGGCCCAAAGTTACATTGCGTCGGAGGAGGGAAAGCGGGATCACCGAACCTTGAAGATTAAAGATACAACATCGCATGTGGAAGAAGTCCATATGGGAGAGGGTTCTAACAGGAGAAGTTCTGCCTCACACACTCAGCAGGTCGACGGAAATGTGGAACAAGATGGTGGAGAAGAGCAGGATGATCAGTGTGTCGAGGGCAGAACTGATCCCATCATCCCATCCCATCCTACCTCTTGCCTCTCTGCCACGCTGGCCGATAAACCAACACACACGAAATCCAAAGTCATTGACAGAGCGTCCAGTACTTCTCTCCTCCTAGTCTTTGCGGCATATCTGACCCACCGCTGCATCAGCCGTCAACTGAATATGATTTACGACAATCCTGGTGTGAACAAGGACTGCGGACGATGTAGCTCATGTGTTGGCGATTTGATTCCAAAACCTCGGAATCTAGACTCGGAGAATCTCATGCCTCTGCGTGCTCAGCATCTAGACATGCACAACAAAGCCTACAGCAGTATCACGAAGCTGCCGGGCTGGATGAGACTGCTTGGTCGGGATCTCAAAGTGCTCAGGGTCAAAATTCTGGCCGCCGCAAGACGGATTCAGTGGGCTAGCTCAAGGTCGGATTACATGTTCGTCAGTGCATGCATCTTTTTGCCGCCGACTGTCATGGAGCGGATCGTAACACCTGAATTCTTGTTGCTGGATTCCAAGGAAGCATTTCTGGCTGCTGTCGGTGACTGGAAGAGTGCGGAAAAGTGTGGAGATGCGATGTGGGAAACGGTACAACAACTGGTTTGTGAAATCGGACAGCAGCTCAAAGTTCGACACGAAGCCTCTCTAGAGAAACAGCGAGCCGCCCGAATCCATAAATCCCTGGTGTGTCTTGGCTTGGACAAGATCAAAAGAGTGCGGTTAGTTGTCCAAGACGATCCAGCTCATCAGCCCTCCGAGCGGCTTGTTCGTAGTTCGGACTCAGGGGTTTCCGAATCTGTCATACCAGCTGCCCAGGAGCCTGGCCCTGTCCCACCGGAGTTGTTCTATGCAGGTGTGGCAAAGCGTAAAGCTGTGACACAGACGGGATCTCGGAAACGGATAAGAATGGTATGAGAACTCATCTTCTCGCTACTCGACGGTCCGCTGATTGCATCCAGGATAAAGAGAACACAAAACCTGATCCGAGTACACTGCACAAGCCAAAGACAGCTCGTGATAGGAACAGTAACATCTAATTCATTACAATATCCAAATCTGATTCGGAATCTGTGTCTGAGGAATCATATCCGGTGCAATGTAGCATACCGTTGATGACTACATTTGGCAACGGAACCCGACAATCCATCTCCTGTGCCCAGTCCACTCTGTCATCTTCGTTTTCGTGCAGATCGGTTGCTTCTGCCATAGTCCTCTGCACGAAGTCCCTCACCTTGCCACCCTCCAATTTGAGAAATCCAGCCTCAAAATCGTCTTGAGTTTTGTAACCGTAGTCGCGTCCAGGACGAAACTTATGCAACTGCCTTTCAGCCATAGCGCGTGTCAATTCCTTCAATGCAGCTTCTTTCTTCTGTCTCTTGTGCTTCCCTCCTGTCTTTCTTAGCCCTAGAGCGCTCTTCATCATGTCATTAGCTTTCCCAAAGCCTGAATGTTGTACGACACAACATCCTGATAGAACCTTCCTCCGAACGAAGCATCACCACGTTCCGCAGCTTTCTTCAGCAAGCGAATATTGTGCTCTTGTAGCTGATCCATTGGAAAGTAGCCGCCACGATGAGGGGTGAAGGTGCAAAGCCAATTGTCCAAGATGACATTCCGAAGATCGTGGGAATACTCGTATTCAAAGTTGCACGCAATCTCGAGCAGTTCATTGGAATATTTGTTTTTCCCGCTGCCAGTGAATGTGAATGTCCATACCTAGCAGATGTCAGATCTAATCCAGATGTTCTATATTCATTTAGAAAGAACGGACCGCCATCACATTCATTGCTCGGCCAATGTCACCGTCTGACACCGCATGCTGGAACTCGTAGTGAAGCATGCTGTCGCGCATTCGAATAATGGTGTTTGCAAGTACAGCGTCACCAGTTTCATCAAGCACAGACAGGTTCCCGACAGATTGAGGGGTCCAACGATCTCCAACCTCAAAACTGTGCTCCTTCCATCCAAAACGGGCCTTTTCCGACGATTCGACACTGAAATATGTATGTGTTAGTTGTTGTGACAGCCTGAAGAGATCTTCGAAGTTGAAAGATCCGACAGCGAAGTGTGCTGAGAGATTGTCGGTTCGTAGTAAAACTCTGCAAACGTCTCAGAACGCATTTCACGAGCAACAGCTAATAAGCGTACTTCCAGCAGTCAATCACTTCTGCTCTCAGCGTGTCGAAGATGAAATTTTGTGTTGGGTAATAGTCGGGGCGCTTGATGTTCTTGATTTTGCGCTTGAGGATGGTGTTGATAAAGTAATATGAGGACATGTCACCAGTTTCCGCACTGGTGTAAGTCTGTCCCCAATGCGTCGAGAGAATACGTTCCAAATCCGCCCAACCCATGTGCCAGAGCTGAATCAGTGGCAGGACCCATCCATATCGGGAGTAGCCATGCGGGCAATCATCAAGAAACCGTTGAAGAGTGCGAATCTTCTCCACCGTTGATTGATCGCCACCCACAATAACGAGAAGGCTGTCAACTTCGGTTTTGTCCATCCCAAGCTGGCGTAAAATCAGGTCATCAAGCACGTCTCGGTTGCCTTGTGTCGTCCCTTCATTGTGGCTGGAGGTAGCAAGCGGATGCATGACCGTGACGTGCTCATCGGGCATACGATGCTGCGCATGGGATGTGCGGAACCGGAGATTGATCTGCGCTTGGTGGCCGTGAAGTACAGGGGCTTCCGCAATGAGAAATGTCAGGCAGTGAAGGGCAATTAGAGCGTTCAGCTCCTCCATGTTGAGGCGATTCATGAGCACATCTGTAGTGAGCCGCCTTCGTAACCCGGCTTCTCGCGCTTCTCTCAATGGGGCTGGATCGAACGCCGTCTGGACATTGCAAGGCACCAGCTCAATCAGCATTGAAGCCGCACCACTCTGCATCACATCATGCTGCCCCAGGTCAGGATCGATCACTCGCCGCATGCGATTGATGTTGTCGTAGATGAGCAGAAACGCGCGTTGTTGGGCCTTGATCCGTATCGCCTTCTGTGTCGAGCGAGAGAGTGATCGCAGTGTGTCCAAGATCGTTGTGTACGAAGATGAAAGGCCGATCCGACTGAGCACAGCAAAGATTGAGGCTGACGCATTATTGGCAAAAAGCCATATGCCGAACATCTTCCTGAGGAATGAAAACCGTATATTCCGTGCATAAAGCAACATCAGGAACACTATAACAATGATCTAGCAGGGTGTAGACATCAGAGTGAGACTAACGGCTGAGGACATGAGAGAAGACAAACCACATAAGGGTCACGCCGATTCTCCCCCGATCCCGCTTCTGACTCCCTTGAAAAGTGCTCAGCGTACGTTGTGGAGCGTCGAGTCCTGTTGTCCAAGGCAGTTGCTGCTAGCAGGCGTAGAATAACTGCCCCGCCGCTTTCTAGACTTGCGATCGTTGTAGCCAGCGAGAAGTTGTCGATGAAATCCAAGTCAATTTCCTCTGAGACACGACGGAACGGACTGTCTTTTCCCGAGAGATCCTGCGCAGCGGTAGACACAAAACCCTCCACCTTTGTGATCGCCCATTCCGAGAGTCGGTGGCGAGCCATATTTGTCGCGTCCGGTCGCTTCTTGTCTTTGGATGGCGTCGCACTTTGCCGGATCTCTCTGGGAGCAGCGTCACGGCTGCTGTACATCAGCTCCACAACCTCGTCCGCTGTAGCTCCCTCAAAAGCAGCGCCGCGTAGAAAACCCGACACCATCTGTGCATGGCGAGCTGAGCGCCCACCAGCTTTACGATCCGGATAAGTAAAAAGGTAAGCCAAGAAGGATCCGAGAGTCCATCCGCCACGCTTGACGTGCGAGAGAATGTTGTCGAGACGTCGTTTGGAGGAAACAGGCTCTTCCAGTGGTAGCTTCTTCAGCTCTTCAGCCCAGGTCTCTCCGACTTGTATCGATTGGTCGGAATATGTTGTGAGTACACGCCAGGGAGGTTTAGATGTATAAGAAGCTGCCAATTCGTCCATTGCATTCATGATCAGTACTGCGTATTGCAGTGCGTATGTACCATGTGACTGATGGGTCGGAGTTTGAAATACACCTATTGACAAGCCCTGCGCGTCAGAAAGCAGACGTACGATCAAGGATTTGAGGCACGAAGGTTCTTGTGAGTTTCGTCTGCTTCAAGGAGACTAGCAACGTGATGCGTTCCAGAAATCATGTGTTCAATGGTTCAGTGATTTCGACGTGTCTGATGAATGCGTCTTGCTTCTTATCCTTTAGGGCGTGAAAAATGTGTCGTGGAGCTCCTAGACCTCGCGATATGAAAGAGTTCCCGACTACCACTACGTATCAGACTCTTCCGCCGCTGTTCCATTACTTGCGGAGGCACCAGGAGGACTAGAGCCAACCCCGTTCACTTTCTTGGCTGCTCCTCGATCCTTCGAGCTCAACAGACTCGCGAAGAAGTTCTGAAGAACTTCGTGCTGAGTCTGACTTCCGCCAGCAGAAGTTGGACTGGGAACATTGGCGGCTGGCCGGGGCGCTCCTGCTGTCGACGAAGCCAGCGCTGTAGGCCGCCGCGTTGCAGCAGATGCGCCGGCAGCAGGCCGAGCTGGAGCTGAAATAGTCCCACCCCCGATACCGATTTCCATCTCCGAAAGAACCCGATCGACAGTCGGTAGATCGAAGCTGGGTGCTCCAAGTGGGCCGACCAAGCCGGCTGCGCTGCGAGCAAGTTCTTGAGGGTCTCGGAAAGCACCACGGGGATCGCGGTCCGGTTTCTTCGAGTTTTCGTCCCAGTGCTTGGCGAGGAAGACCTGCTCTGAGGTGGGGCTTATTAGCGAGGGAAGCGTAGGTGGCTGCTCGACTGTGTCAGAATACATCCTTCTTTTCATGAGATTGGAGCAGCTGACCTTGGTTCCTTGGTCTGGGACCAGCGAAACAAACATGGCTTTGGCACCATCATTCGCGCTCTCACCGCCCTCAGCCTCCAGGTCGCGCTCCCAGGCCTCGCCCCAGGTCCGTGCTTCAAATCCTTCACGCATGATGGTGATCTTCCCCCAGCTGTCCCAGCCGGCAGGAACAATGATACGGTCACGATCAAGATAGTTGGCTTTATGGGGGAATGGAAACGGATTCCGGCCAGGCGCCGGAGCTTCAGAACCAGAAGTAACTGCAGGCGAGGGTGCTGGTGGTATGAACAACATATGGAGTGCATACTGTCGCAGAATTTGAAGCGTTGACGGTTGTTGTGTCGTATAGAACAGAGATGCCCCGTCTTCAAGTTTGTGAGTATTAGACAAGGAAGAACGGAAGACGAGACGGAACAGACATTTCAAGCATATTGTCCGGAGGACCTGCATGATACCATCCGTGCGCTCTTCCCATTCTCCACCCTTCCCTCGCACCATACCTCCCATCCCAGTCGAACTTGCAACAGGGTCCCCTCCCTCGTCGATGAGGTCAGCTTTGCTGCATACAACCACGATCGGCACGCCACTCGCGTTATGCGTCAGCGTTCCCGAGCCCAGAGGTAGAATCGTGCTTCCGGATATTGACGAAGGAGCAGGGGTGGGATCCGTGGCGGGCTCGGTATAGTACTGCAAATGTGCTTGCACTGGAGCAGAACCCCCATGAGTTGAAGGCGTCTACGAACAATAATAGAACCAGCAACTCACGTCGCTCTCGACTCTCCTCGCGCACAATCTCCAGTTCTCTCGATTTATCGCCCGTTGCCCATTGCTCGACCCACTGTAACCATGTCTCGAGTTCCTCCACGAATGTCCAAGGACGCGTCCAGTCCAGCACGATCATCACGAGTGTATTCGGGAGCGCTGTTCTTGGGGGGACGAAATGTGGTAAGAGCGATGTGTATTCTGGTGCCGAAGAGGGCACGGTGTACACCGAAAGGCGCGCAAGAGTATCTGCGAACGCGCTCGATATCACGCAGAGCGCCGCACAAAATCCGGCTCACCCTCATCCGCATCGTCACGTACGTTGCTAAAGTCGTACCCGATAGCAAAGTCCGTCGTATGATCGTCCTTCTCTTCCACGACCGGTTTCTGCAGCAAGCCCGCAGCTATGGTGGATTTGCCTGTGCGCGGCTGCCCTAATAAGAGCACCTGCTTCGAGGGTATAGCACGTGAGGATGACACAGAGTCGAGGATGGAGCCCCATAGGTCTTGTGGCGGGGGCTCTGGTGTATCCGGTCGTGAATCCATGGCGCGAAGTGGACGAGATCAAAGAGAGTTGGTTGGGGTTAGGGTTGACGTATCTTTTGGCGCAGCCCTCACCAGATTCAAACCCATATATCATCATGTCGACTCCGAAAGAGCCAGAAGACACTCCTGAGCCTCAGCGCGTACCGTCACCACCTCCACACACGACATTCTCGACGCGCGGAATCCTAGTACGCTCCCCAGGACATCTTCATCGCTCTCTCCCAACCCACAGCGCAGCCCCCGTCCTTCCCGACCTTCAAACCCCGGGAATACCGCTTCAACAGCTCGCATGCCATGAACCACGTCGCCTGGAGCTGCGACGGCAAGCGCCTCGCAGCCGTGGGCATCGACAAGGTCACGCGCGTTTGGGTCCCCGAAAAGGGCGTGCGTGCGTCTCCTTACGCGTCGCGGAACACGGCCGGGACTGACTGACACCCCGACGCGTAGATGGAGCAGAAACACGCGACTGTGTTCTCGGGCGGGCACCAGGACGATGTGGACTACGTGTCCTGGAACCCCACACATCCGGACCTGTTTTGCACCTCAAGCCAGAAAGATCGTAGGATCGTCTTCTGGGACGCGCGACGTGAGTCGGTCCACGTCTCATATCGAACAGATAGCCTGAAACTCGGGATCCGACGACAGAAAGTCGGTATACGCAGTCTGTCCCGCTCAAGGTATCGCCTATGCTCACAAGCTACTCGCCCAACGGTCGCACGCTCCTCTACACGTCTGCTGGACATAGTCTTTTCTTCCTCGATCTCCTCAAGGAGGGAGAGGACAGCAAGGAGATCTGGCGGCAGAATCCAACGCAGCGCACCGTCGCGTCGTTTGCTTTGTGGAACCATTCTGGAGATGGGTTCGCCACGACGTATTATTCCGAGACCAGCCTGCGCATCCTCGACTATCCTTCTTTGACAAGAAAAGAGGAGCTGCCTGCTCATCCGGGAGGCTGCATGGCTCTTGCACTGGATCCTCGAGGGCGGTATGTATGTCTGTATCCGACTTTTTTCAGCATTCATCTCATGTGGCAGATATCTCGCATCTGGAGGCTTCGACTCGATCGTCAACTTGTTTGACGTCGAAGAATGGATTTGCACTCACACGATTACTGCTTGCGAGTTCGTATTCGCCGCGCTCCTCGACTTTCTTCTGACTTGCGGTAAAAAGCCACAGGATAAATGGTATCAGCTTCTCGCATGACGGAGAGTACCTTGCTATTGGCAGCGCAGGTTCTTATGTCGAAATCGTGCGCTGATCGGTTCTGGCTACTTTCCATTACTAATTGTGATACCAGTGCGGAACAGAGACTGGGCTTTCGTTGCACCGCGTGCCAACATCGGCACCTGCAACAGCGGTTACGTGGCATCCTTCACGACACGCCCTAGCGTATTGTGGGCAAACTCGGCCTCGCGAAGGCGGTCCTGCGCCAGTCGCTGTGCTTGGGCTGTTTGGGATGCTGGAGTGAAAAGCGGATATCTCCTGGAAGCACCGGATGAACGGCCGCCGGACTGCAGACAAGATGCCGCTGATGAACAGGGATCACCGCTTGTGTGAAGGAGTGGCGAGAAGCCTCAGCTACGATTAAATTCCATGTGTCGCCTGTAGATCATACTCTTCGTAGCAGGACTTGCGCGAAGAGTGCCCATTTGGCTTATGAATGGTGCAAAAAGACCGGTCACATCGATGACATGACTGAGTAATCGCTCCGTTTCTCCTTCCTTGGGACCTCCTATAAAACGCTCGCCACGAAATCCACCGCGGCAACATTAACATTATCATGGCCACTCAACAAGCTGTCGTCATCGATGCACCCCAACAGCCCATGGTTCTCAAAACCATCCCCAAGGGCGATCCCGGCAAGGGCGAGGTCCGCGTCAAGGTCCTCTCGACGGGCATCGCGCCGCTCAGCGCAGGGCAGCGCGACTACAACATCCTCGTCGATAGCTATCCCGCCGTCCTTGGGGGCGACATCGCAGGCGTCGTCGACGCACTGGGCGAGGGCGTGACGGGTTTCGCGATCGGCGACAAAGTGTGAGTCGTCGTCGGTTGCATCGCAGCGAGGAAATGATCGCGCTGACCCATAAGACAGCTGTGCGGGCACGCTCGGGTATGGATACCAGCAGTACGCGGTCCTGCCCGCGGGCACCTTGCTTCGTGTCCCCCAGGACTCGAATCTGGATGATATCGCGACATATCCGACTGGGTTTGCAGCTGCGTGCGTGGGGCTGTACGCGCCGAATCCGATAGGTCTCAACCTGAACCCTGAGCTTTCGTGGGAGCAACCGACGTACAGCGGCAAATCTGCACTCGTCCTCGGGGGATCGTCGGTTCTCGGGCAGTTCGGTGAGTGGTGACCGGCGACCAGTCGGTCGATGGCTCATTTGCCTGTCGCTCAACCCCGCCAGCCATCCAACTGCTCCGCTTCGTCGGATTTACGCGGATCGTGTCCTACGCATCTGGGAAGCACTCGGAACTTCTCAAGGGGTTGGGTGCGACCGAGTGCGTCGACCGGACGACCGTGCCCAGCACTGACCTCAGCGGGCTGCTCGGCGCGACGTTCGACGTCGTGTACGACGCATGCGGGTTGATCGACGTAGCATACGACTGCGCGCTCGACAAGGGCGGCGTCGTCACCGCACTGCCGATGGTCCCCTTGACCCGCTCAGGCAAAAACATCACGCTCGTCAAGGTCTTCGGCGTCTATTACGGGCCGGACGTTTTCCCGTACAACACGTCGAAGATCCCGGTCTACGCGGGGACAGCCGAGCACACCAAGTTCGGGAAGCATGTTATCGAGAACTTCTCGGCTTTGATCAGCAAGGGTGTCCTGAAGGTGAGTGCGTTGTGCAGTACCCCGGCTGGTATTAACGCACTGTCAGGGCGTAAAATACGAGATACTTCCGGGTGGGCTGGCGAGTATCCCCGATGGTGTGGAGAGAGTGAAGAAAGGTGTCAGTGGCCTGAAGCTAGTAGCACATCCTCACGATGTATAGTAGATTCTAATGTATCAGTACCGATCTTGATGAGCAAGATCCACGTGACCGCGAAACCTTGGCCGCTTATAGCCAATTACTGGGAGGTCAATCCCATGTCAAGTCGCATACAGGTGTAACCCTACATGGCCACGGACACGCACGGAAATGTGATTTCTTCGAGTAACTGGCCAACGGCTCAGGACCGGCTTTGATCGAACATGCGGCTCCATAGTAGTGGGATCGCACTTTCCAGAGTCGCCAGCTCTGTTCGCACCCGTAACCGCTGTCGTACGACTGACGGAGAGATGTCATTTCGAGCTGGATCGCGCCGATATGCCTAGCGATAGTTTGTCATGTCAGATCTATCTGTGCACGAGTCGTTTCCAAGGTCTGGTCCCAGATAGACCCAGTGGCGCTGGAATATGGATCAGCCTCGAAGTCTATCGCTGCCTGAGATCACCTCACTGCATGATGCACCGGACTAGGGGTGGGACAACTAATTTCGCCGTCACTATAGACTGGAGAATGATTGACTGTGCAAGTGGAAGGATTGTGTAGTTTCGAGCAGGGGCAGCATACTCCAGGGAGGGAGACCATGTCGCAAATGAACAACGCACTTCGCATCTCATCGATAGCTAATAATGACTTGCATAACAACTGCTATCAGTTCTTCCCCGCCCCCCGCTGCCCAATACACAATGCCCAGGTGGCTCCCTGAGCAAACCTTTTCTCTTCCAGTGTCACAGTCAAATTGCTGCATGCGCCCTTTTAACGTGAGAATGATCGTTGGGTGTTTGGGCCGAACTCGGCGCCAAGTTCCAAGTATTGGATAACCATGGCAGAGTGGAATAATCAGTGTTCTGATCTGCTTCACGTGTGGGCACTGGGGAGCTCAAGAAAAAACCTGTTGGCAAGACAAAATCTGCCCGAAATAACCCGTGTGTGCCGAGGCGGTCAGTAAAAGAAGTTGGGCTGTGCCCAAGCAAAGCCAAGCTCCGACGCCGGGATCCGATCGTCGGGCCATTCAGGCGGCCGGACTAAACCGGGTCATCTGCAAGTAGCGCCAATCTTACGGGCCAACTGACGTACGCGAATTAGCACTGAGCAATGACACCCACAAGCGCCCACTGACCGCCTTCAACTGTCGACACTCCTGTTTATCTGGGCTTGGACCGGGGGTAAAGCGCGCGCGAGTCTGCCTGGCTTGTGTCTTCATGTGATCTTCTATCCTCGTTGACTGTCACCCTCAAAATCCGCTGAAATATGGGAGGGAACGTTGTTCTCGAACCTCCCTAAGATCATCTGCCCGCGCTGACAGCACCCGCGCTGACCACCCTCTCATGTGACAGCCCCCTTCGAGCGCCATCCACATCTCTGTCTTGGTAGAAACTCAGCTAGACTCGAGCGACGGGCAAACCTGGTCGTCGTAATAGCCGGGGGCCGGTAGGCACCTGTCATGTTTTTTCACGGTCGCCGCTCACAAGTGCGGTCCCGTGCTCGAGGGTGCTGACCTGCGACGCCTGCTTTCGGGTCCGGGGAGGGCAGCCGTGACCGATGCGTCCTCGCGGGGATCGAGCCAAGACAGAGCGCGCACATGCTCCTCGAGGAGCATAAAAGCTGGGCGTAACGGTGTTGGAAAATTCGTGCCAGTACCAGCAGCCCCTCCAGCCATGAAGTTCTCGCTCTCTGCTCTCCTCGGCCTCGCCTCCCTCGCGGTGGTGCTCGCAGCCCCAGTCAACGAGCCCCGCGCCACCTGCGCAGACGTGATCGTAAGTGGCGCTAGTCGCGTCGCGGCGAACACGGCCGGATTGACTCCCTAACGTCCAGGTCATCTACGCGCGCGGGACGACGGAGACTGCACCGATCGGCAGCGTTGTTGGTCCCGGGTTGAAGTCCGCGCTGCAGGGCCTGCTGGGGAGCAAGACCCTCGCGTTCAACGGCGTCACCTACGCCGCGAACATTCCCGGATTTTTGGAGGGCGGGGATCCGCAGGGCTCGCAGAACATGGCTAACGATGCAAGTCGCTCCTGATTATGCTTTCCCTCCGATCGGCTCGTTTTGACGCGGCTTTTGCAGCTGACCAACGCGGCGAACTCATGCCCGAACGTGCGTTTGTTTCTGTGCATCTCGAAGCAACGGCTACTGATGTTGCGTGTTTTTGCGCGTATAGTCCGCTCTCGTCACGGCTGGGTACAGCCAAGGCGGCCAGCTGGTGCACAACTCGGCCAAACTCTTGTCGGCCAAGGTCCAGGCGCGCATCAACGCCGCGGTCATCTTCGTGCGTCGCAGCCCCCGCCTCAGTAGGCGTCAAATCGAGCTGACGAAATAACAGGGCGACCCCGACGACGGCTCGCCGGTGGCCGGCGTTAGCGCGTCCAAGACACTCGTCATCTGCCATACTGGTGACAACATCTGTGCGCACGGGATCATCGTCTTGCCGCCCCATCTGTGCGTAAATGCGATGCTATCCAACTCATTTCTGATGCGTGTTTCTGCTCCTAGGAACTATGGCATGGACACGCCCACCGCGGCCGCTTTCATCGCCAGCAAGGTTTGAGCATCGGCACGTGATCTGGGTTCAACCTCGACGCTCACGTGTTCGCGGTTTGGCTTTCGGTGGGCGGATGGTGGTTCTTGGTGAATAAGAAAAAGAATGTCATGCAAAAGAATTGGATTTATGAAATGCAAACTGAATTCGACGGGGTTCAAGTGGATTGATGAGTAATTCTATTCGCCACAAGTGTCCGTCACTCCGGCTGCACTCGACTCGGCTTGGAGGGATGTCATATTCTCGCAGAGAGTCCCGGTCATGCCGCAGTGTGAAAGAGCAAAACGAATGTTTGTTTCGAGTTCTTATATATGATATTACAAATTTCATAGAGTAAAACATTCTCTCACAGCCTACACTATCCTTTCTCTCTTTACGTTCGAATTTGGTGGATCACAATCCACGAGTTTAACTACACCTTGCTGACAATGAAAGCAGCAGCAGACGACGCATCCTGGCCGTACGTCCTGAAAAGTGCGGTGAGACCCATGCGCATCAACTCGGATGGAGAGACGACATACAAGTGCGGCGGCAGGATGAGGTCTCCGTGAGCGCAGATATTGTCGCCAGTGTGGCATATGATCTTAGTGTTCGCCGCGCTGACGCCCGCGACGGCCGTGCCATTGTCGGGGTCGCCCTGTGTGCACCCGTCTCAGTACTCCTAGAGTTGCGCATCAGGAGCGAGACACGCACGAAGATCACTGCGGCTTTGATCCGGGACGATACGGTGGAGGACAACATTTTGGCCGAGTTGTGGACCAGTTGGCCGCCCTGGCTGTAGCCGACCGTCACAAGCGCGGCCTGGGAAAAACATCAGCACTCAAAGGCAAGACTCTTTCGGAGACCATCGACGCACTTTGGGGCACGAGTTCGCCGCGTTCGTGAGCTGAACAAATGAGCAACCAAGTTCTCTGACATGCTGAAAATACACGCGACTCACGTCAGCGGCCATGGTCTTCGAGCCCTGCGGGTCGCCGCCAGCCAAAAATCCCGGCACGTCGGCAGGATAGCTGACGCCCGCAAACGAGAGCGTTTTGCCCGAGCTGCGGAGCGCGCTGGTGAGCGCAGACTGGAGCGGCGGGCCTGCGACGGTCCCGATCGGCGGAGCCTCGGTCGTGCCGCGCGCGAAGATGACCTGCAGCAGGGAGTGAGCATGAATTATGGACATCATGGCATGTCGCTCGGGTGGGGGCACGTACCATGACGTCCACGCAGGCTGCGCGGGGAACGTTCGCGGTGGGCGCACCGAGGGCGCCGGACACGAGGGCGAGTTGGAGAGCGAAGAGAGTGGCGAAGGTGTGCATCTTGCGGCGGCGGGTGGGTTTCTGTCTGGAATCTGCTGCGAATGGATCACCTTTTTATACCGTACAGCGCAGCTTAGGCCGATTGCTCGGCCTAATGCATCGGTAGATCACAGCATATTCGCCCAGGCTACTGCACCCGGGCTCTTGCTTGCCTACCATTGTACCAGCACACCCCACCGGACCCAGCATGGAAGCACGGTATTCTTTTTGACAGGTTGATCGGAATTCGATTCTCGGGACATCCGCGCTGGGATGGAAACAGCGGCGGCAGACCAGTTCAACCGTGGGAACTCACAGCCACCGCTGCACACTGACAGCCCGCACGGTGGATGTGGTGGGCCTTTTCACGTCGTTGGTCGAGCTGGGAGAGAAATTCGAGGACCCGCCCACGCAGCTGGGGCCAGAAGGACAAACGGAATCGAGTTCTGAACCGGGTAACTAATCCCGTAGCTCCGACATTGCATCCTATCTGTCAGGGACTGAGGAGCCTCGTCCGTAATCAATGCGTGGGCGATTCGGAGACCCACCAGAGGCTCTGGCCCGTCCGTCCATCACGGGCGCGAACCGACCCTGTTCGCTTCACAGCCGGCCGGACCCCTCTGCCGAGGAACTGGGGTGCTGATAGCTCGTAAAGCACGTTGGTATGTGTACATACATACCGGAGGTCGGCGAGAAGCTTGCTGCAATATGAGTCTGGTCTGCTGACTGCCATGTTTGGATTATCGTATCGCGTGGGCTCGGTGACCGTCGACAAACGAACCCTGCGCATCGCTACGTTCTCCCGGCATATGCATGACGAAACTTCTGTCGCAACACCACCCCTCGTCGCCTCGTTTCCATGTCGTCGCATCGCACCGGGTGCACTCCCTGAGCCACCCGCACGGCGCACTCAAGCTTTGGGGATGCTGGCGGCACGCGCGTCATCTCTGCGCCGTTGACCGGCCGTTCGGAGTGTCATGATCATGCGCTTCGGTCTACCACGTGGGCACAGCGCACGAGAGGGTCCCGATCCCCGCATACTCGCACTGGGTGCACCTCCGTCGGTGTCAGTGGAGAGGGGCTCGAGAAGAAGCTTCAGATTGATTCTCGACGAAATAGGGGACGTCGGGGATAACAGCATGACCCCACGTGATTGTGCCATCAAATCGAAGCAGACAGGAAAACACCATATCGGGATAACAGGTGTTCAGTTGCCGACTCGATCAAACGACTGGATGGATGTGGTGTTAATGATGTTTATGAGCTCTAGCCCCTCCGATCACCGGCGCAGAGCGCCCTTTCTGCGGCGAGCGTCGGGTCCAGCCCAACCTCGAGGGGGGCGGCCGCGAAGAGCCCGACGCACAGGGAGAGAAACGCGATCGGGAACGTCGCCGTCCCATCGAGGTCCAGACAGAGGGATGGGAATCGCAGAGGGCAATACCACGTGATGCTGTGACCCGCCCGTGAGGTCGCGACGCAGCTGTTGGCACGGGACGTGAGGGTCGATGAAGGCGCGTATGGCTCCGCATCTCGCTTACATGGGGAGGTGTGGCACCGCTCCGGCTCATTCGCGTGCCCAGACCCGGCTCCGAGTTCTTCTGGGTGCAGGGGGAGTACGTGTATCCGCCACGCGCATGCAAGGGTCGAGAAGGAACGGTCACAGCTGCGTCAGGGACCGTTTTCGAACCGGCTGTGCCGATCTCTGTGCAGGTGCCTAGATGTTTACCATGGGATCCGCGAGCTCGTCGAGGCTCGTCGTCCTCGTCGTCACGAAACATGTCCCAGGGACGCCGGATGTCGGCTCGTAGCGGCCGTTGTCTGCGGTGTGTGCGTGGCTATGCGAAGGAGCGATGAGGCCGTATGGCATGCGGATCGCGCGCTAAGGCAGACAGGATCAAACGAGCGTACAATAAATCTATATTTTGGAGACGTCTGGGGGTAGACGCTGTGGTATAGGGCAACGAGGGGCTGGCAAGAGGCGGAATAAGCAGGGCGACTGCGATGCATGGTGAGAGTCGCGCGGACGCGAGACAGTCGATTCAGGCACTTTGAGCAACACGCACCTTGACTCTGCTGAGAAGTTTCTTCAAGCATGCGGCGGGTTGAGTTATCTGGAGTTCGTGCAGTTGCAGCACGCAGAAAGGAAGGGAGCGGAGTGGCTGACACGGATGCACTCAAGTGGGAGGCAGACTCACCTCAGTCGCCACCGTGTGTCTGTACACTATAGGTGGGACATACTGAGAGTAGTCCCTACATCCATTGTGGAGCGTGGTTCATTTAGCCGCAGAGTATCGATCGTTGCCTGCCAGCACACTTGGTTCCGCTCCAGATTGCGATAGACTTGAGATTTCCGCCGCCGCGACGAACGCGCTTCGAAGCTCCGCATGTTCGGAAATCATAAGAAAGATTTTATCCTCTCCTTTGCGATAAAATAGGCATACTGAGATGGACTGCGGTCCTGAATCTACTGAAAGGCGGTGGCTGGAAGGACAAGAGGCCTGAAGAGACGCTCGAGAGTTGGCACGTGCTTGACGAGGCTTATCTAAACGGGACCCTAACCCTATCGCCCTAGACGCGACGTGTCGAACACGTCCAAACTCAGCGCTTGATACATTTATTGTCAGTGCTTCCAGTTACCATCCAGCTGTGCATAGGACTTTGAGGATGAAGTCCGGGGCACACTTCGTCCTGGCCTTCGCCTTGACCGTGGCTGCTGCGAGCCCACCAGTGAAAGTGACTCTAAAATCTTCTTGGGAAGCATCTCCACTGCTGCTCGAAATAATGTGCGTTCCATCCCTCCTCTCCGCTGCCGCAAACCCACCAGTCACCCAGAGAAACGGTCGCCTCCGAAAATGCGGACGCTTTCTTCCCCTTCCTCGACCGCGTCACCGACCCAGCCGCCCTCTCCAAGACACCGCTTCCCGAGGAGGCGGTACACCAATACGCACTCCAGGTAGCCGCGACGAATGGATTCCTCTCCGCGCCCGGGGCACTTGCCCTCGTGGAGATGAACCTCGGATTGCACACCGCGACGCCGAAGCTGCAGGCGTTCTACAACGCGTATCCGCGCGAGCGGGATCCCGGATGTGGATCGTGGGTGGACTGGTACGGCCAGGCTGTGTGCGACGTCGCGCAGCTCACCCAGCTTGCGGGTGTCGACACCATTGGGTCCGCGGACACGACGTGAGTGTTGCCGAAAGCTCGGCTGCCGCGACCTGACGCTTTGCAGGTTCACGCGACCGAAGCTGTTGGCATTCGACCACGTATATCCACCGCCCGCGCGGACGCTCGACACTCCTCCTCGCACAGCTATTCTCTACGCATCTCTCGACTCCGCCAACTTCCGTGAACTGCACTCGTATCTGTATGCGCTGGCCGATAGACCAGTGCATCCAGTGGAATACGTGTTCCGTCCGATTCCAGGACCGAGTACTGGCTCGCGCAACTTTCTTTCTGGCTATGGAGTGGCTCTCGACCTGAAGAAGATGGACTATCTGGCTGTGGATGACAGGCAACAATCGTCAGGCTCCGCTGCTCGCGAGAACACTCCTGAAGAGGCTGTCGTTGTCGATCCTGTCATGGCTCTGATCGACTCCTACCCTGAGCCGGAGACTCCTGCAACCGAGATGACTGCAGCAGCCTTGGCCGGTCCGTCGTGCCAATAGCTAATAGTGATTGTCGCTAACCTTCACCAGCTCTCGGCTTCCAAGCCACACAACTGATTGCGGATTCGGACGACCCGCTTGTGACGATGGGCCAGCTCGCTCAAAACTTCCCCAAATACATGGTACCGCTTTCACGCAAGGTTGTCGTCAACTCGAGCCTCCAAGAGGAGGTCCACGCCAACCAGCTCAAAGCCCAGGCGGGTGTCAATGCGTTCTGGGTCAACGGAGCGTCGCTCACGGAGAAGGACATCAATCCGCTCGGCTTGCTCCGCTTCGTCAGAAAGGAGCGCACGGTTTTGACTTCGCTAACGGCCCTCGGTCTGTCGCGGATGGAGGCGATTGATCTGGTCGCACATCCTTCCGGGAGCAGCAGCGAAAGCGCCGCCGTTATGGACAATCTCTTCGATGCCAGCGACCGCCCCGAGGGAGCGAGGTGATTGTGTGGTGGAATGACCTTGAGAAGACAGCCGGTATGCGGGGTGGTCGGCGAACATCCAGACTGTGCGTTGCGTCCGCTGCTTTCCTTCGTCGCTGACGCGGCAAAACAAGTAGCTTCTCCGCCCGCTGTATCCTGGCCAGTTCCACCAGATCAAACTGAACATGTTCAACATCGTGCTCGTGCTGGATCTGTCGTCGCCGGCCAGTCTCAACATGATCACGGGCGCGGTGGCCAACGTCGTCAGCCGCAGCTTCCCTCTGCGGTTCGGCATCGTGCCCATCACCGAGACAGAGGACGGCAAGAAGATGGCCAAGTTGTTCTACCATGGTGTGAAGAACTATGGCCGGAAGCGGACGATGAGTTTCCTGACCTCGGTATGTATGTCGTGCCTCGAATCTTGTTCTCAATGGCGCAGGTCATGAATTCGATCACGGACGGCAAGCTCGATTGGGATGCCATCAGATTTGCGTTTTCGACCGAACTGCTGCTCAATGATCCCCAGGACGCCGAGGCAGCGAAGCCTGTGGACTTTGATGCCGTTCTCGCAGAGGACAGCCCTGAAACGATGGTGGTGGCCAAAGGGCGCAGCTATACCGAGCGGCTTGGCGCAACACTCGCTGCTTCAAGCAAGGGACAACAGTTTCGTCAATGGGAAGCACCTCGACGTAGATGAAGTGAGCCGTACTCGATGCGCGCGTTCCCTTTGCTCATTCATGCCGCTCTAGGGATTCTGGCGAGGGATGCAGATGGAGATAGCACCCCAGACCCAGCACTTGCAGGAGGAACTTTACAACGGCAAGATCACGGAGGAAACCGCCCAGCACATCTCGACGTACTTCTACGACCAGCCCACCACCAGCCTCCGGAGAAACAAATATATCTTCCCAGAGACTGCGGTCAGGATATTCAACCTCCCCGACACGTTCAGACGCACAGGGTTCAAGACCTGCCTGGATCTTTTGTTTATCCTGGTAAGCGTGCACTCGAGATGAGGCACTGGGGATACTCACCTGGTTTGCAGCGGAGACGGAAATGCTCCCGCTGACCGTCTATGTCGTCGCGGATCTGGACAGCGAAGGTGGACTGGATCTGGTCAAGGAGGCACTGCAGTCGTTCGTGAGTAGCGTGGCACCTCGCAACTGGCACAGCACTGACGCGACCGCGTGTCTCAGGACGAGAACTCCAAGATGCGACTCTCCTTCATCCACAATCCAAGTACAGTCGAGTTGGATCCTTCGGTCAGGCCGCCAAAGTCCTGGCTCCTTTCGCATCTCGTCGTGAAAATTTGCTGTCCAAGGCAACCCCAGCCAAGCTTCTGCAGGCATTGGAGCCCGGCTTGGTGATTCAGAGCGACGGAACTCAGACTGCCGACGAACTCACCAGCGGAGCTGACTTCTCCTGGGACGAGTATGTCCGGTCGTGAATGGGGGACGCTTAGTTCTGCGAGAGCTTGAGCTTGCTCCAGGCCAACAGATCGTAATCGTGAACGGCCGTGTACGTGCCCTTCTCGTGTGCTTAGATCTCAGACTGACCTGAGGCATAAGATTGTTGGGCCTATTGCTTCCAAGGACTTCTCCGCGGCCGATTTCAGAGCATTGGAGACATTCGAGCTGCGGAAACGAGCTGAGCCAGTGATCGTGGCTTTGGAGACCATCAAGCCTGATCTCAGAGAACTGGATCGGTGAGCGCTTCGTCTGCTATTGCTGCAGGATCCGGCTCTGATCATCACTGTAGTGCGACCTCGGCTGCACTGATATCTGCCTTGTGTCCATCGTCGCCGCATTGGAGGCACCAGAACCCGGAGGCGGAGGGATCTTCGATCCTCCTAAACGTCCGAGACAACGCAGCTATCAGCTGCTGGATGACCGATACTCGACTTTCCAGTTCGGTGACAACGCAACAGCGTTTACCAGATTGCTGTGCTGGTAGATCCCATCAGCGAGACTGCCCAAAATGGGCCGGTCTACTCGAGGTGGGTTCTTCTTTTGTTGGAGATCGCGCCCTGACTGATGATCGGCACCAGTGGCTTGCGC